CACGCCGACCATACTGCGCGAAATGCCACATAAAAGATACATTGGCTCGTTTGGAGCAATCGGCTGGGCTACAAAGAGTGGCTCGGGCATGCTGAGACACAACGAGAAGATTGGCATCGAGCGCGTGAAGAAGCAGCCGAAGCTGAACAAGGCCAAGAAGGTCGTCAATCTCAAGCACCAGGACGTCTTGGTCAGGTTTACGAACGAGAAGGGCGAGGAGGTGGGGAGGCTGGAGAACGACTCGGCCGCGTGGATTGCCCCTCTAATCGACCAGAAGGTATGCTCGTTCGAGGGCACCGTCGTTTACACACCCGACCGGATACGGACTGGCGACACTGTCTATCTGCAGCTACGCGGCTACTTCCTTCGGAGCGCCTTCGATAAGCGGAAGTTCACCAAACCAGAAGACAACCGAGAAGTCAGCCTGTTCGAAGAGAAGGAGTCGTCCGACGAGCGCGACCTCCGCATGCGGCAAATCGGCATGGTCAAGCTGTTCGAGCAGATCAATCTGAACCCCACGCGCCAGAATGAGACCACGGAGAAGCATAAGCGACAAGGACTGCTGCAAGCGGCAGAAAGCGCGGAGAAGGACAAAAAAGGGAAGGCGGAGAACGGCACGCCCATCGAGCCAGGCTCATCGCCGCCATCTGAGGAAGCCGAGGACGGAAAGGAGCTGGAGCAAGACCAGCTCGACTCTTTGTACAAAAAGGCACAGTCCTTCGACTTTGACACTCCTGTTCTCGAGCCAGCATCCACCTTCCGGATGGATCTTCGCAAGTATCAGAAGCAGGCTCTGTTTTGGATGGTTGGCAAAGAGAAAGACGAATCGCTGGAGGGCAAAGAGACATCAATGCACCCGTTGTGGGAGGAATATCAGTGGCCAACCCACGACTCCGAGAACGAACCACTCCCAGCTATCGACAACCAAACAATGTTTTACGTCAACCCCTATTCCGGCGAGCTATCACTTGAGTTTCCCAGACAAGAGCAAAACTGTCTGGGTGGTGTACTGGCTGACGAAATGGGTCTCGGAAAGACCATCGAAATGTTGAGCTTGATCCACACTCACCGTATAGAGGTCCCTTCAGACGAGACATCCACAACCATGAAGCCTTTGCCACGATTACAGAAGAATAGCGCTGCCGTTGAGCCCGCACCGTATACCACGTTGGTGGTAGCACCCATGTCCCTTCTGGCACAATGGCAAAGTGAAGCAGAGAAGGCCTCCAAAGACGGCACGCTCAAGGTCATGGTTTACTACGGCGCTGACAAGGCTGTCAATCTACAGAAGCTCTGTTGCGCATCGAATGGCGCCAATGCACCCAATGTCATCATCACCAGCTACGGCACGGTACTCTCAGAGTTCAACCAAGTCGCTGCACAGGACGGCAACCGCGGTTCGCACGGGGGTGTGTTCTCGCTTGACTACTTCCGCATCATTCTCGACGAAGCACATTTTATCAAGAACAGGCAGTCGAAGACAGCCAAGGCCTGCTACGAGCTGTTTGCACGCCATCGCTGGGTCCTGACTGGTACACCTATCGTTAACCGCTTGGAGGATCTCTTCAGTTTGGTGCGCTTCTTGAAGGTGGAGCCATGGAGCAATTTTTCCTTCTGGAAGACTTTCATCACAGTGCCTTTTGAATCTGGCGACTTCATCCGCGCTCTAGATGTAGTGCAGACAGTGCTCGAGCCGCTGGTTCTGCGTCGAACAAAAGACATGAAAACACCGGACGGCAAGGCCCTCGTCCCGTTACCGCCACGCATAATCGATGTTGAACGCATCATCCTCTCACAAGACGAGCGCGACGTCTACGACCACATCTTCACACGCGCCAAGAGTGTCTTCGCAGCCAACGCAGAAGCTGGCACTCTCCTCAAATCATACACCACCATTTTCGCACAGATTCTACGACTTCGCCAATCATGCTGTCATCCTGTACTCACCCGCAAAGCTAATATCGTTGCTGATGAGGAGGATGCGTCACTCGCTTCAGATCTTGCCAACGGCCTAGCTGATGACATGGACCTTGGGAGTCTCATCGAGCGCTTCACCACCGAAGGCGACCAGGACGTCAACAAATTTGGCGCACACGTGTTGAAGCAAATCCAAGACGAGTCCCACTCCGAATGTCCCATCTGCTCCGAAGAACCCATGATCGACCAAGCAGTCACCGGCTGCTGGCACTCCGCCTGCAAAGAGTGTCTGCTCAACTACATCAACCACCAACGCGACAAAGGCGACCTCCCCCGATGCTTCAACTGCCGCGAGCCCATCAACGCACGCGACGTCTTCGAAGTCGTGCGCCACGACCACACCATCGACGAGCCCGATTACGCTTTCAAACTCGAAGACTCCGCCCCTTCCGCAACACAAACACCACGCATAAGTCTCCGCCGCATCGGCCTCACCGGCTCAGCGAAAACCCAGGCCCTACTCACCCACCTCAAGCGCGTCAGACGCGAAGACAAAACCACAAAATCCGTCGTCTTCTCACAATTCACTTCCTTCCTCGACCTCATCGAACCCGCGCTTTCCCGCGACCACATCCCCTTCCTCCGCTTCGACGGCTCGTTGTCACAAAAAGCCCGCGCACACATCCTCACCGAGTTCACCTCTTCGCCCAAGCCGTACGTCCTGCTCCTAAGTCTGCGCGCCGGCGGCGTAGGCTTGAATCTAACGTGCGCGCGCAACGTCTTCATGATGGATCCGTGGTGGAGTTTTGCCGTCGAGGCGCAGGCGATTGATCGCGTGCATCGCATGGGGCAGGAGGGCGAGGTGAGGGTTGTCAGGTTTGTGGTTGAGGGGAGTATTGAGGAGAAGATGTTGCGGATTCAGGAGAGGAAGAAGTTTATGTGAGTACTTTTAACCCAGTTTGTGTGATTTGGTGGGGTGTGTGTGTGCTGACTTGTGTGTTGTAGTGCGAGTTCGTTGGGGATGATGTCGGATGAGGAGAAACGCGTGCAGAGGATTGAGGATATTAAAGAGCTGTTGAGTTAAGGTAGGTGATGTTGGGATGGGTTGTATGGAAAGGGGGAATTTATGAGATATGAATGTTGTATAATGCGTATGAAAAGGTGGATATATTCACATCGCTGGGTTGTTGACCTATCACAAGCGACGCATATCAACGACTTTGTCACTTATGGAGAATCACCTTTTCGGTGCTATCGTACACCCCATTTTTCTAGCACTGACGTAGCCGAACCCACTTTTTTTATCCTGAGGTTCGCTTGAGAGAGGGAGAAGAGGAGAGGATGAACAGGTGTGCGTGGTACGATATGTACATGTGTGTTGGGAGTTCGATATGACATAGGATACCTTGGTTTGACCTTACTTTCTGCAGGTAGTGTTCATATCTCACTCTGAGAACATGTCTTCAGGACTTCACACCAGCGACGCCGAGGATGACATGACTTGTATCCAGACTCATGTCATAATCTAGTCCTAGATGCTACGCAAGTAAGCCTCGGATTCGAAGTGCACAGATACTAAGGAATATAGGATACAAGTAAGATTGATGAATGTACAGCTGTGCCTTTACTTAGCTGTGTCGAGCAGAAGCATACGCTGTATCACTTCGACTGCAACGGGAGCGTGAGATTGAATTGTGTAACGTTATATGTATTTACTAATTCTCGACCATCTCATCAACTATCAGTTCAGGGCATGTGGTCTAAAGAGTGCCGGAAGGCCTCCAGTGGGAATGATACTCCGTTCTGAAAAGAGGTGCTGTGCTTGACCGCCGGCACGGGAGAGATGCGGGTTCGAGTCTCGCCATGTCCATGTGTATTTTTTTGCTTCTGTGTGGGGGAGATGGAAATATGCGGTGTTCAGGCGAGAGAACATTGAGTAGTAATATTGCTGAGCCAAATCTGGAAAGGATCTTGTTTATAAAGACTTCTGTGAGCTCTTTCATTCATTTCGCTACTAGTTACTGTGATTGCTTGCTCCTCCAAAAAGAAGGGACTAAGCACTTCCGAACCTCAAACTCTCACCTGTTGAGTGCCTACCATATACCAGAAAGCCAATTTACGGAGAATCTATGAATTACAACAAGGGCATGTGGTCCAATGGTTAAGACGCCTCATATCGCTTAGTCGTGCTGCTTGCATGAAACTAGCACGTCCAAGGATCTGCTGAAGAACGCGCAAGCCGAGAACTAAGACGGTCGGGATCATGTCCTGGCTGCTGGGGAGATGCGGGTTCGAATCACGCCATGCCCAATACTTTTTTTTGGGAAGTTTATTGGGAGGGGGGGTGAAAGTGTAGTAACGCGTCTGGGTCTAGAGAATTAAGCGAAAGTGAAAGAACGAAAAGGACGCCTATTGTACACCGTGAGACAGGGTAAGAAAAGGGTATTTACCTCTCACTTCTTCATTTCTACGTGAACATCGTATATCATAATGCAAACGTGCAAAATTACTATCATTTCCTACGAAGGGCACATGGTCTAATTGGTAAGACGTCTCAAATTTCTCAGTCGGGAAGTGGCTACCGGGTTCCAAGTTGCTGGCAGGAATTCCTGCCGGTATTTTCAAACTGCTAGCTATAGCTGGTCTCTACGCGTTAAATCACCGGTGGTATCTGCCTTGACTGAGACAGTCGGGATCATGTCCCGAATGCTGGGAAGATGCGAGTTCGAGTCGCGCTGTGTCCATTTTTTTTTTGGTACATAGGAGTTTGTCCCAGGTTATGAGCTTTGTGAATGCTTGGGTGTAGAAATTGTGCGCTTAGTGGTGTGTCCTTCTGATATCTTGCTACTGTTTGATAGACTGTATTGGCGTCGAATTAGTGAGTCAAACTTATCTAGGTAGGTTCAATGCCCAATAATCCTTTCAGAACGCGTTGCACGAAAGTAACCATGCGCGACTGAGATAGCAAGGCGTATTGTCTCTCGCTCATCTCAAGGACCTGAGGCCAGCTTACTCACTCACTGAGTAACTAACCGTCCACGGTAGAACATGGGTGTAATGCATAAGAGTATCATATATCTTCAGGGCATGTGGTCTAATGGATATGACGCTCTATACTCCGACTAGTCGTCTGCAGATTCTGCAAGACGCTCGTCAGTGGCTGTCAGGGTTATGCCCCGACTGCTAGGGAGATGCGAGTTCGAGTCCCGCCATGTCCAATATGTGTTCTTTTTGTTACCTTTAATGCTAGTGGCATCACGCGCAAAACGTAGTGTTCCATGCGAATTATGAGTATCAAAGACAATGTGTCCGTGCACCATTTGATCGTTCATTTGCCGGTCTTGGGTTCTGACATAGTCACGCTCATACCTCCTTTGTCAGTTACGGTGTCGCACACTCAGTGTTGGCTCACAGAGATTCAAATTCTTTCAAAAGCAAACTGAAGCTCAGTGTGCTTTTGGAAACTATTCATTTCTCTTACTTTTCCCTGGCATCGACTTGTCGAAAGTGAAGCTCCCCGAGTTTTATTCGCTTACTTTCGAAGCCCCTACAAGATATCATAGATTTTATGTAAAAGACCATCATCTATCTCAAGGGCATGTAGTCTAATGGATAGGATACCTCAAATTGCTTAGCACAAGCGCGCTATTCCGTGATTGTATGCCTAGGACAGTCAGGTCATGCCTGATTGATGAGGAGACGCGAGTTCGAGTCCCGCCATGTCCACTTATTATCTTTTTGGATCATGGATAGTATATGTACATAGTTCCCAGATGGCGTGAGCTTGTGTATATAGTTCCGAAGACCAAGATGGGTCACTGCCAGTCCCTGATTGCCCTTCACTACATAGCCGAAAACCCAAGAAACACTCAATACAAAGACTCGCAAGTGATTTGACAAGCGAGAACGTGTCATGCTATGGAACATAATGCAAATAATATGTGAGGAAACAAGAAGAGATGTACCGAGGGCATGTAGTCCAATGGATAAGATACCTCAATTGTCGAAGCACGATTTCGCTCGTGGCTATCCATCAGCGTATTCGATGTCTAGGACGGTCGAGATCATGTCCGATCGATGGGGAGATGCGAGTTCGAGTCCCGCCGTGTCCAATGTTTATCTTTTTGATGGCTGGAGAGGCAAGTTATGTCAAAGAATGCGACAAGTCCGCGTGTAAATGAGCTAAGGAAAAAGAAACGGGCATTTATTCATAAGCAGGCTTGGGCAAATCACCACAAGATCCAAGTAGTTCATATGAGTTTGGAAAACGTAGTGTTCGAATAGTCTCATTTCCCACTTCAGTTATCCTATATACAATCCTCCTCCTCACATAAATGCCGTGATCAGACCTTCTCCGCCCCATCGACATGCGCAACACCCTCTTTACTGCCCATGCGCTGCAGCCTCTTCGCCACATTATTATGTAGATACTTGTCCATATCCGGAATGAAACAACATGCCACAATCAACAACACACTAAACGGAATCGTCGCGTAAAACACATAATGGAACGTGCGCACATACGCATCCCTCACCGCGAGTCCTGTCGCAGCTATGATTTGCGTGTTGATGCCCGGCACCGCAGTAAAGTTGCCTGCCGTTATACCCTGGAATAAGGCTGGGAGTGAAGACGCGGGCAGACCGGCGCCCGTAGCTGCGGGAACGACCATCGCGGGAATGAATTGGCCGGCTTTGTTGGTGAGAATGGAGACGTAAATAGCCTGCGCGACCGCGCCACCAAGCGCGCGAATAGATCCCAATACACCTGTCGCGAGGCCGATATCCTGCGGCTCGATAACAAGCGTGACACCCGGGAACGTGATATTATCGATCCAGCCGATGACAAAACATCCAAGCGTGCCCATTGTGATGACAAAGGTATGTGTATCTGCTTCCAGGGCTGCGAGACTGCCGACGAACGCGGTGCTCAGGACGGACAGGATGATGCATTGAAGTTTGACTTTGGGGACATAGGATAGCGCGAAGCCGCCGACGAGTTGGCCGAGTAAGATGCCGCCGCCGACAACGCTGGATTGCCAGCCGACTTTGATGACGTCGGCGGTGTAGACGGTGGTGATGAGCGTGGGCCAGACGACGGTCATGGAGTAGTAGACCATTGCGCCGATGCAGGCGGCGACGACGATGGCGACGTAGCCGACGTCTTTGAAGAGGCGGGGTGGCATGAGTGGGATGGTATGGCAGAGGTATTGTTCTGGTTGGAAGTTAGCTTGTGCTCCCAATGTGTGGGAATCTACGTACCATAGAGGCCGAACCCGACGAGCGTAAAGATGCCGATGATGATCGTGCACAGAACGTGTGCACTGGTCCAGGGATACGCCTGACCGCCCCAGCTTACGCCGATGAGGAAGAGAGTGCAGCCTGCGATGAAGAGGAAAATGCCAATGAAGTCGAGTTCCTTGAACGCTTGCCATTTGGTCTTGCCATGAACGTGGAGTTGTTTGTATGTTGGTGGGTGGTACAAGAACTGGTAGAGCACGATGGTGATAGCGCCGAAAATGATACCCAGGTAGTAACTCCAGCGCCAGCCTTGGGCAGTGTTGTCGATGAATGCGCGCGCGATAATAGGTCCAAAGACTGCGAAGGGCAAGCTGGACATGAACACGAGCGTGACAATTGGGCCACGCTGCTTATTGGGTACTAGCTCGCCGAGGACGATTCCGAAGGACAGTTGGCCGGCTGCTGCGACACCATTGCATGCATTGGCTGCGATCAAGGTCTCGATGCTCTTTGCTGTAGCGCCAACAATGTTACCAACGATACTGAGCACCGTTAGAAGAGCTCAGGTAGCATCATGACAAAGGTGTTGTATTACCTGAGCACTGTGGTTCCGATCACCATCCATTTCCGGCCAAAGATGTCAGAGAGACGACCAACAAGTAGGAAGCCGACTGCCGATCCAAGAATCCAAACTGTTCCCACCCAGCCGATGTTCGGTGAGGGACCGATGTCTTGGTTGATGAGCATCCTTGTGTTACATTAGATCGAGTCGACCATGATGTTAAATCGAGACAAATCTCACAGTGTATTTGCAGGCAAAACCCAGCCCAGATAAGCGCAGATACTACCCGTGCATACTGCAATAACAGTTCCAATGAACTGTATGCTTCGAAAGTACCCTGCTGGCATCTCTGCCAGCTCGCCGCCGATGGCATGGGTGTCGACCATATCGACGGTGCCATCAGTGTGGACTTGCTTGACAGCCTCGACCTTCTCCATGTGCTCGGTCGAGGACGCGGCGTCGATCTTCTCTGACGGCATCTTGACTTCGTGACTCATTGGAGCAACGAAGCAAGACGAGGGAGGATGGGAAAAGGTAGGTATGGATGGTGTAGAATGAGTGGAGTCTTGAAGACCTGCAGGACTGTTACAAGGGCAGGCTTGAGGATCTTATACCATGCAGGCCCTTCATGCACAAACCACCGCATCGTTAGACATCGCAACCCAGTAAGCGAGCATGCTTGAGACTATCGAGGCCAGACCGCGCTGATACCCCGGATCGACCACGTTGCCCCGATCCGAACCACGCGACTGCGGCAGCTTAATGCTTCAGTCCGTCCCAGTCCAGGACTTCGGGACGCATATCCTCGTAGAATATGGGTGAGGCTGTGTCATGATCACGACTAGAACTGACTCTGCGCGAGTCGGACGTGCAAGGTCAGTGCTGCGATTCGCCCCGCGGGCGAGGTGCGGGGAAAGTGGAGAGCCAAAACCTGGGGTTATAAGGCCCGACTCAAGAACACGCAAGCTTGCACAAGCATGTGGATGTCTGGGTCCTTGGCTATAGATGTAAGTGATTGGATGATAGGGAGGAAGCTGGCTCCGAAGCAAGATCGGGTGCTCGCAGGTCTCGGCTTCAGCTTCGCGTACCGTTATCCGCGGATGCTCGGCTGCACCAGTCACAGTCACAAACATGATAGTGGCATGCTTGCGTGCACCAGAACTTTCTTAATTGAACGAGAGGCTAAGTTGGATGAAAGTGACATGGAGGCTCGTAGCCTGCGCGTATCAATGAAGAAAGGAGCCGTTCTGCTTCCATGCATCTAGGGCGGGGCGCGCGAGAACAAGCCCGTGTGGTATACGCTCCTCAAAGGTCACACCAGGACCCGCCTTTTAGTGCAGTAAGAAGAAGGCAGCCGCAGCCGCAGGATAAAGCACATAACTGACGGACGCAGAAGTTATTTTCAAACCGCCTGCGCCATTCTTCGACGTCTGCTCTGCGGTCGCACTACCAGCAGCGCCGGCAGAATCGGTAGTGCTTGCTTTAATGATTCATTAGCAAGGTCCCACGCAGCCTAACGGGGGCTCAGTTTACCTTCAGTGTCCGCACCGTCCTTGTCTTGCTTTCTCTGCGTACAAAAGTCCGTCAATGTAGTGTTAGATGACAACGTCTGCAGTTTTGTCTGAGCGCTCTGAATTTTTTCCTTCAATTTGTCGACTTGGGTGCTATTGAGCTGCTTCTTCGCCACCATTGCGTCTAATGCCGTGGTGTTGCTCGCGAGGTTTGCCAATTTCTGTAGCTTCTTCATCTTCTTACATTCCTGCACAGTCTGCTTCTCGGCATCGATAACAGCACACTCGCTGGTCAGAGTCGTGTTGGATTCCATAGTTTGCAATTTGGTACTGGCTTCCGCAGCTTTGCTCTTCAATTCGTCGACTTCAGTGGCATTCAGCTTGCCCTTTGCAACAAGCTCATCGAGCTTGGTCTGGTTTGCGGCAAGCTCGGTCAGGTGGGTGAGTTTCTGAATCTGGTTGCAGGCTCGCTTGGTAGAATCACCACCCTTGGATCGTGTGCCATTGTGGTCTTTGCGGACTTCGAGTGCGGTGGAGCCCGTGCCAGGGAATGCATACGAGGTCGCCGCAAGAGCGAAGAGAAGGATGTTGAGGGAGTGCATCTTTGATGGACTTTGCTGCTGTGGCAAAGAGAACTGAAAATAGGTACAAGAACTGAAATGGCCAACCAGTGGCTTAGAGAAGAGAACACTTAAAAATATAGAAAGAGTGTCTGCGATGAGTTGTAGCGATGGTCAACTGCAGTCCTGCTTGGCGCAATAGATATAGATTCCAAGTACGAGTATGCGTACACGCCCACGCGGCCTGACCATCGTGAAACCTGCGCAGGCTGCTGAAAGGATATCAAACAATCTTTCAGCAGCGCGTCGAGCCGATGCTTGCGTACGTTGCGTCTTGTGCGGAGGATTTCCCGCACCAAGCGAGTAAGGGCCCTGGCTCTTTCTGGAGTCGGAGCATGCCTCGAGACTTTCATCAGGATTGGAATCATGAATTCCAGTGAAAGCTGTGTTGAAAGTCTAGACTGACGCCTGTCGATGTTTCATATACCGTCGGATGTTATGCAGAGCTAAGCTTTGCGTACGCGGCTTGGCGTTGGGGTCGTTTCAGATTCGTGATGCGACTGAGCAACGGCGGCTCGACACGCAAACTTGGACCTTATATGAGGGCCGCGGACAGGCAGCGTTGTGTGACAATTCTGCTTCACGAACGGCGATCAGGGTGTTGGAGTCGCGCAATCCGTTCGCTACGCGACAAGCGTTCAACGTCTTTTGGACACGGGAAATGGTAGACGGCGGTGCATTCGCATGCAGATGTCTATGAAGTGTTCTTCGTTGTCTGGGTTGATTATGCCATGTCTAACAAAGAAGTCGATCATGACCACGGCCGAATTGGGTTTGAACGCGCCGGCTTTGAGTTTGGCTTGTACATCTGACACGCTCATAAAATAGAACTCCTTGACTTCGTCATCCTTTGGCGTTGGAACCACGCCAGGTTCGAGTTCAAGGTCATACACGTGTACCATGTCTGGAACAACGAGGCCTTGTTCGGCAAAGAAGGTATGACCGGTCTGGTGAATATATGTGAGAACGCCGCAGGACTTTGCATCCCGACGAACGAGAGATTCAGCTATCGATGCTTCTTCGTCTGCCTCGTGCACTATGGTCTCGAATGGAGACTCATGGGCCCGCACGCCACCTGCCACTGTCGTGTCCAGCATTCCAGGGTAAGTCTTAACGGCACTACTTCTCCGGGGAACCCAAATCATCATGTCGCCGTTGTCATTCGTAGTGTATGCAGTTAG